CCCGCAGCTCATGTGCTAGTCCAACCCTCACGGCGACGCCAGTGGAACGGTCCAAGCCAGTGCAAGTGAGCCAAATCCTGAGCTCATTTTAATGGCTTCTGTCCCAAACCTGAGTCACTGGGGATTCCATGGACTTCCAAGAGAGCCCTCCATGCGTTTCTAAAAACAAACCGCTCGATGCTGTCATGGAAAACCTGGATCTTTGCGTTCTATGGTTTCATTATGGATTACATCCAGGTCACAACCTAAGGAAGAGAAGCTGGCAGCAACGACCCTGCCGGCTGCGTGCCCAGCCTTTGTAATCAATCCCAGAGGACGAGGGCCTGATGTGTGCTGCTGGCTCTGCCAAACAAGCCCTCACCTAGGGACACGCAGTCGACCTGTGAGTTACTCTGTGGGGGGAGCCTGCAAAGGCACCTGCAGTCAAGGCTCCATTGCTCGAAGTGGACGCCAGAAAGGGAAGGAACTACAGACTGTGTGTGTCTGCGGGAAGAGGAGAAGTTCTTGGTTTTCCTGTCAATTCAACTGCTATCTCCTGCTTAAAAAGAAAAAAGAAGAAAAAAAAAGCCCCAAGAACACCCGTAGTCACACCAATGCCGCAGGACTGCTCTACACGCTCTTCAGCCCTGATACAGGCAGGCTAGGAACGGGCCAGGGAGCGGCCCTACACGACACGGTCATGTTTGACTGCGAGAGAACAAGGTCAATTCTGAGGACTAAAGTAAAGACCACTATTCCTTAAGACGCAGCATTTCTAGGGGGCACCTCGGTGGCTCAGTTGGTTTTAAGCGTCCGACTCTTGGTTTCGGCTCAGGTCATGATCTCACGGTTCGTGGGTTCAAGCCCCACTTCAGGCTCTGTGCTGGCAGCGCAGAGCCTGCTTGGGATTCTCTTTTTCTCCCTCTCTCTCTGCCCCCTCCACACTGCGTCTCTCTCAATCTCAAAATAAAATAAATAAAAGAATACTTAAAAAAAAAAAAAAGGCAGCATTTCTAGGAAACATAAAAAAATACTAAAACCTGCCAAGAAAGCAGACACACTTTAGTAGCCAAAGAACTACCACTTATTATTTACCGTGTGCCAACTGTGCTTAAGCCTTTCTTCTCATATGTTATCTAATTTCATCCACAAAACAACCCTGAGGGTTGTACTACTATTATACCCATTTTATAAGTGAGAAAAAAGGTTTAGAGAATGAGGTACATCACTACACATTTCACAGCCACTGTAAGGGAGGTCAGGACTGACCCAGGAGCAGGTGAGGCTTGACGTCTAATCGCTGCTGGGACTGGAAAACTGAACACCAAGGGCATCTGTGCATAGGGATTTCGGAGGTGTCAGATTGGTGCCCACCAGTAGGCTAGACCTTGAAGGCAAATCCTGTATCTGGGTTAACTTAATAGTCAATATGTGTATTTGATTGTTATTTTTAAGTAAATGAGATTTTGAGATTTCCACTGAGACAGCAAATTCTTTCACACCCACTTCTAAGTTCAAAATATCCAGATTTTGATGATTTATGTTACACTTTCTATAGGCAATGAGGCCACACAAACCTAAGGCCCGTTTATTCTTTAAAATTAGTCGTAACAAAGGAACACGCTTACAACAGCTTGTCATTTTTCTTCTAGTTCTATTTTACGAAAGTGTCACTTTTGCCAAAATGAAAGTTGTAAGGACAAACACGGTGTGAGTCGATTTCCCAAGAATGCTTCTGTTGCCCTGGCAACAGCTCCTTTCTCACCGTTTGTTCCAACATCACATAGATCCAGGGCTGAGAAACGGGTTGTGGGGAGGGGAAAGACTGATGCTCACAGCTGCAACAAGTCCTTGGCTGAGGCTGGGGCTGGGGCTGAGCAGATGCTATCACATACTGGCTGACAGGAGAGAAAGCAAGTCAGCGGTTTCAGACACGGGGTGGGGGGGGGGGGGGGGCAACTTTCTCAGCTGTAGATTTAAGGACCATGGCTGCCGTGGATGCCGCCTTGAACTACCTGGTAGAGACCTCCACGAGGAAGGGAAGAGCCCACTGAGCATCCCTTACAGATGTGCCGCCTGCCCCGAAACATGAGTCGCCTGCGGAGTGCTTGGTCCATCTTCCCCATGATTTCTGCTCCAAGAGGGGCGCTGCCATGCTGGCAGGAGAAAACAAACTACTTCCTGTACTTCAGTTCTTAGCCTTAGATCGGTAGGCCCTGGAGAGGTAGTCTGACTACACAGAAATCCCGGCCGCTTGCCAATTCCAATTTTTAAGTAATTTCAGACTTTCTGGGGTGCTCTGTGTATGCACGGGGAACATAAGCGATAAAGATGGGGAGAAAGTTCTCTTAGAAAATCTAGACTTTGGGAATTGGACAGGTGACAAACAGACTAGCACCTCAGGTATGCTCCTACTTCCTTCTTCTCAACCATCCTTCCCAGAGGCCTGACACAGCCAGAAAGAGAAAAGTCAGGAGTAGTTAACTGGAGTGTATGAATAATACCTAAGATACGTACTGGTCTTTGTGCCAAAATGAATCTTCTTGCCATCTATGTGAAATAGCAAACAAGAGCACCAAAAGATGTGTTGGACCAACCCTCATTCTTAGAGATCAAATTTGCTGGACTAACACCTTATTAAAAACTGCACGTAAACAGTAAGACTGAAAGGGTATCTACAGGTTGCTTCTGAATGAGTGTAAAAGACAGCTTGTGGTGTTACTCCCTCCCCCCCTCCAAGAGGCCCCACTCGTACTATAAATGGCCACTGATTTGCTAGAAGGCACTAAGTTTCTCAGGATGAAAAGCATTCTTAGGAATGATAAGCCAGGAGTTTTGCCTGCATACCAGTGCTTCGATAAAATTCAGAGTAAAGGCATGAATCATCAAGGATGAGGAAGCACAACATAGTAAGGAAAATTTACGCAGAAATCCACTTCTCTGGTCGACCAGGGCGCTTAGCCAGGATTAATGAATTGTGTATGCTGCCTTCCCTTCATCTACATGTTTATTCTGGCTTTTCAAAAGCCTTCGGTAAGAGTTCTCAGCCAAAGTTTTAAGATATACACGGCATATATGCACATGTGTGCACTGCCTGAGGCACTGTGTGTCCCACGGCAGTAAAGGAGGGGCATTTCTCCGACAAGAAAAGATGAATCTGATTTAACATTTCTGGGAGGTAAAACACCAAGCTGAAGGGGATGAACTGCAGATTCCAGAAGTGAATCAAAAAGGGGATAATGAGCTTCACAGAATCAAAAATCGAAGATAAGGTCATATTTTCCAATCTCCCTATTTTTTTGTTAAAACTTTTAATGTCTATTTATTTTTGAGAGAGAAAGAGAGAGAGAAAGCATGAGAGGGAGAGGGACAGAGACACAGAATTCGGAACAGGCTCCCAGCTCTGAGCTATCAGCACTGAGCCCACCGCGGGGCTCGAACTCACAAGCTGTGAGATCATGACCTGAGCCAAGCTGGCTGCTTAACCAACTGAGCCACCCAGGCACCCTGCAATCTCCCTGATTTTGAGAAGAGGAATGCAAAAGTCCAGCAAGGTGGCACACTGATCTCAAGCAAAACTGAGAATCAGAATCCTGGTCTCCCAAATTCTGTGAGTGCGTAGAAGTGCCTGAGTCATTCGTGGTAAGGCTATTCCTCTCAGATCAAGAGATGAAGGCCTTGAGGGTATCCCCCAATGCAGGCAGATCAGGACTGGGGAGCAGGTCGTCTATTTATTTCTCTAGGCCCCTTATCTACCAACCTCCACACACACATATATATGTGGGCTCCTCTAAGATAGGAGAAACAGAAAACATGAACTTATCAGTTGTTTGGAACCTAACTGTTGTCTGATCTGCTGATTTGGAAGCCAGCCCTGCTGAGCTCAATTAGGCAGACTAGAGTTAATTCAGTTGGGGTCTGCTTCTTTACAGGCCTGGACACCAGGCTCCATGTTTCTCTTCACCGTCCAAGAGTCCCACATACAAAGCTTTAGGATTTGCTGGGGGATGAGTCACCTGTGCACTTCAGTTAGGGTTGCAGGTGGATTACTGTTCTCCTGTTAGAGATCAGATTAAAAAATTCTTTGGTTGTAATCGTTCAAAAAGTGATTTTTTCCCCCTAAAAAGTCAAAGCACGACTCTATTCCTTTAGTTCCTCGAGGATGTCTACAAACTGCCCCATCTGTGTCTACGTGTGTGTATTTCTGCCAACCAGAACAAAGCCCTTGAGCCTAGACAGACAGACTGATTGACACCCTCTCTGTTCAGGATCCACCTTTCAAACCCTTACGGGAAAGGCTATGAAAGTGCTAGTGGGCATTGAAGTTTTCTCGCAGCTCACAGCTGCCCCTCTGGGATCACTTTTCTTTCCACCAGTTTCTAACAAGCTCATTAGTGAGAAATTCCCTGAAAGTGGAACACTTAGTTTGTATTTTCTGATCCGAATGCAGAGAACGTTCTGTCAGGCTCCAGGAGACAGACAATTTAAACCAGAACATTATTAAACACAGAGCAGCTGATACTAATTCCTTCCCAGCCTGCAGCTTCTCCTCCTAAAGCTGAAATCACCCTGCGGTTGGGGATGGGGCTGGGCGGGTGGCAGGACCAGGCTCACTGCCTTGGAACGAACGCCCCACACTCACATTCCTTCCCAGCACAGAGCGCCTGCTGCAGGTGGGCCTCTCACACCATGTTTCCAAAAGGGGATGCACTGATGTGGAAAGCATGCTTTTAATTTAACGGGAAAAGCAAAAAACCAGGAGAAGTTACTCAAACAAAATCCAACGGCTTAGAACCCAAGGAAATAAGCAATGAAGAAATACGTGAAATAAAGAACAGGGGACAGTGTAACAGGGAAACGGGAGGGATGAGGGGAGCACATGTTGCGCGGGAACACTCTTTACACAGCAAATCTGGACAGAAGCCGGTCTTCAAAACGGGCAGGAAAGGAATGCGGCAGGGGGTGCGCGGCACATGCGATGCCGGGTGCCTGGGTCCCCTCCCTCTTCCCTGCACGCTTACCTGCGATTCCTTGCAGCAGCCCGCAGACGTTGAAAATACTTTTCTTCATGATGCTCTGCACACACATGGTGAAGACGGACACCAAGGCCACCGTGCAGAGAATGAAGATGCCCACGGCCAAGAAAATAGCCGTGGCCTGCCAGAAGCCACTGGCGATCTCGCCGAAGTTCTCTGCGTAGGGCCCGCACAGCGTCTCCCGCTGCACGTGCTGCACGCCCGGGTTGCGGATGCAGCGGGCATAGATGCCCAAGGTCGGGTGGTAGGGCTCCGACGAGCCTCCGCTCTGGTCGTCGGGCGCGGCGCCGCTGCGACTCTTGGCTTTTCCAATCAGCCAGTCGGCGCTCATGAAGGCGATGAGCTCTGCAAAAGCCACCACAATACTCAGGAGGGTCCAGAGCATCGAGCGACAGGTGACAATAACATGACACATATTGATGTTCCAGGCGGAAAAGTCAGGAGTCCACGGGGTGAATAATAAAAGCAGGCCGGGGTGGGGGGAAGGAGGCTCAGGCGGCCGCAGAAGGAAGTCGCTGCTCCGGGCGCTCACTCCCACAGCCTGGGGCTCCCTCTGGCCGGCCTGTGGCAGCGCGGGCCGGGGCCGTCATGCTGCCATGTCAGAGCTCCGAGCGCGGCCTCACCTACGGGAGGGAAGGGAGGAGGGGGGTTAGCAGCGCCCAGGCTCCGCCCCGCGGCGGCGCCGCCAGCAGACTCGCGGGTCCCGGAGCCCCAGTGCGCTGGCCAAGAGGCTGCTCCCGCGCGGCCGCCCTTCCCCGCCCTCCCGGCCGGTGCCGCCACTCCGACCTCCATCCTCCGACAGAACCAGCTGTGGCCGATCCGGGGCCGGAGCCGCCGTTCGCAGCGCACTTAACTGGTTTTCTTTGTTTCCAGTCGTCCCTTCCCGTGCTCTCGCACTGCGCTGGTTCCCTTATCGCCGGGCAGCACAACTCCAGGCCAGTGCCCGTTCCCGCACCCACCCCAGGCGCACCCTTTGGCACAGGAGCTCATGCCCGAGCTGCTGCACCCTTGGGATGTGTGGCTCCTGCTCCATCATCTCTCACTCGAAAACGTCAAACGGCAGGGAGATCCAGCAACAACTAGATGGGACTTCCAGTCAACCTTGCCAACAGACTGGCTATGTTTTTTAAGAGCTTACGGGACCCTCTGCCTGCTGTCTTGGTACTAAATGAGCTAAGTTTTGACAAACTTGCACCAAAAGATTTTGGTTAAAGATAGAGAGTAGCAACACCCACTTGTATTGCTGGGAATCAAATTAGTAGCACAGACACAAGAGTATCAGCTTCATAGGTGCATGAGGATACAAAAGAAAACAATGCTCTGAAAAATTACAAAACACTGCTCCCCAAACTTATTTTTATTCATTTCTCACAGGGTGATTTCTGGACCAAAAAAACTACACTAATTAAAACTCAAGAAGAGGAAAAGAAAACCTTGAAGAGTTCATGACTTAGTCATTTGGGGAAATTATTCAAAACAGAGGCATGAATGACCACTGACTAAGTGTCATTACCACTGAGTGGACTTGTTGACAACAGAAACTTGCGTATGAAGAATGTGTTCCTTGAACTGTCCCGATTCATCCCATGCGCCTCTGCCTGAGCTTTGATTCACCCCAGGTCTGCAACTCAACATGCCCATTGTTTCTGGTCTCACAAGGGCTCATTCTGTTCCCAGGGACAAATGGCTTCATAACCAGAGGGCTTTGCTCTAACAGCTCAAATCTCTTTCAGAGGGGCCTGAACCCTGAAACAGGGGTACAGTGCTCATCGGCAGCCCCATCTGCTACCCCTTCTCCAAGGTCAGAAAGAATCGCACAGTTCACATCTGACATCTGGGTGCAAGGCTCTGTTCTGAGTGATGACATCTTATTAACTGAGGTCACGTCAACTGCACAAGAACCACAAAGAGCCCTCTGGCATGCTGGCAGTGGGGTGGGGCCAGGAGATGTTGAAGAGGAAGGCAAGTGGGGAAAGAAGGAAGCCCAGAGTCAAAGCTTCAAAGCTTCTACACCATGCTGGTTGACAAGGTGTAGCGACAGAGAACTACTTATCTCAT